GACACAACCCCTATACCAACGCGTCTAGCCAGCTTGATATAGTAAGACAAAATCTCCTTTCTAAGGATAGAGGTATGTCTAGTAGTAGACTATTTAAGCCTGTTGATGATAATGATGATACTTCTTCATGAATATGAAAAATCATTACTTACTTGAATTTGAATTAAATTTTAATCAAAATTTGAATGTCCTTTTCCACTTTTCTTGAGTTGCAAATCATTGCCTGAATCCGCTTCATCTAATTAAACTGCCTTCTTAACTTTATTTGTAACGGTATCCTCATAATTTTCAGATATTAGTTAGAAGATAAGTTATCATTTTTACTATCCATATGACCGACTTCCCAAAATCTTTTTCTGAACACTTCCTTTTGAATTTACATGTCTTGTTAAGATCCTTCCTTATAGTCAATGCTGTCGGTAAGTACACTTGTTTTCTCGAAAACACCATGTTATATACAGAGATAAGAGATCACTGATATACGTCTTCGTTAGTAAATATGACAATTGTAGATTAAAAATGAATTGATGAGGCCCACGATTAAATCTTAACGACTTAATGAATTGCACCTACTGTAATTAAGATGTTTAACAAAGATTGAGTACATCTTCACGGTGATTATTTATAACCAACAATATGGAACATAAGATATTTTGATGTTAATTGAAGAAAAAACTATGTTGAATATAACATAAGTATATCATAAAATTAATATTTAAAAAAAATGCCTGGGTGGGCCCCAATTTTGTTTCGTATTTTATATTCTTATTTGACACTAAGTATAGTCATCCCTATATGAATTTGTAATCGTTATGATAGGATAATGCTAGAGATACACAGTTACAAGTGTTAAACATGTGAATATCTCTTGATATTTACATTGGCTTAAAAATGTATGCATATACAATAAGACAAAACCTTATGAGTACCAAGTCATATTATGTTACATGTCATTAAATAAAAAAAAGAACATTTTTTTTGGAACTTCTTGACGAAGCCTTATTTTTTATGAACTTACATAAACACAAGTTTAAGAGAGAGAAAGATACATTAATAAAAAGCATTTATAAGCATTCGATCTAACCAAGGATAAAACCATGAGATCTACATTATTCTTACGTAAATCAGACTGGCCAATTAACTTGAAAAGGTACATTAAATACCTGAATTTTGCTACTTATAATTTGGTTATTAAAGTTGAAAAGTTTAGGAGAATATTGAAAAGCAAAAGTAGATAAGGCGGGAATACAATGGATGCGAGAAGCCCAAAATCGATCTAAGTGGCGTGCAATGGGAGAGGCCTATGTTCAGCAGTGGACTGCTGGATAACAATCATAAACATCTAAATCAAAATTTTCAACTACATTTGCCATTTTCATCTTTTTGTTGATGAACTTATTTTGATTTTTAAAAGACATGAGACCCACTGTCATCGCCTTTTTGTTACTAATTCTCACTCCGGCCTATCCGCTTCATAGCTATTTGACATATACATATCGGAATTTGCACAGTATTGCGATATTATGGACTTTATGACCGACTATCAGTAGTCAACCCAGTTAGGATTAGTAAGATCCAGATTTCTGCTGTCATTGATATAGGTTTAGGCACAATTTTTAAAATTTCTTTTTGATCAAAACAATTAAATTATGAAGACATAATTGTCTAGAAAGTAAAATATAATAATATACAGTTTAATATTCATAGTAAAACTAAGTTTGCTTTTTAAATAAGGTACAAAAATAGTTAAATTACCTGGTAACCGCAAAAAAACTTAAATTAAAAATATTTGCCAATTTAATGGTTACTATTACACAACATGAGTTGGAAAAAATTGTTCACACAACTTAGTTAACAGAGTAAATGTCAAAAAAATAATATGAACGTTTTATGACCCATCATTTAACCAGCATGTCGTTATCTATGCCTAAATTATGTTGTAGACGAAGTGATCAACTCGTCATTATTCATAAAGTCATACTTACATTGGTCAGTCTGAATTACATACACACATATGCCTCCACTTTTATCCCTGAAGGTGTATACACACCAAACACCTTCATTTTGCTACTTATAATTTGGTCTTACGTAGTAGAAGGTAACCCAGGTGTAGATCGGGCGCTTGGTTATTAAATTGAAAAGTTTAAGAGTATATTCAAAAGCAAAAGTAAATAAGGCGGGAACACAATGGATGGAAATAGAATATTGATTATACGGATAAATTGGGGAGGGTAACGAGAGAAACTAAGAATCGTATTTATGTTACTGGAACTGGCTGTTGCTGGGAAGGTTAAGTCTAACGATAAACTGATTTATCTGAAGAACACATTTATTTACTAGCCTAAGACGTCAAATATCAAATAAATATAGCTCACTTAGGGCTCATATATATATTTTGTGGCCATAGTACTTACACTACACTTCCCTCCTTAGCAAAGCGGGAGACAAAGCTTTGCTAAGGAGGGAAGTGTAGTGTAGTGTGAAGAGTATTTATTATATTTCCAACTCCACCAATTTTTTTCTGATTAATTTCGTTGGGGGTGCCAAGACAGTTTAATTTTTATATGGGACTGCCCACACTTCTCACACATTTATCTCAGTATATTTCATATCTTGTACATTGGTAAAATCACTATTGATAATCACACTTATAAATCTTCTTATAAATGTATACATATTATTGATAAATCACACCCAAAGATAAAACAAATGACATTTAAAAAAATATGTCCTGAGTGGGAATCAAATCCAAACGTCTGCCTTAGTGGTAATCAAAACCACTTACTGCTATACCAGACCAAAAGAGCAATGATGTAGTGACTTTTCAACTTCTATTATAACAATTAATCTGTTAAACCAGATTATCAAATATATATATGTGTATTTGTATGTAAAATTATATAATGTATTACACTACGTTAGCTTCAATACATCTAGACTAGCCTCTGTTTCTTCTTATCTACTGTCGATTTGTCACTCCAAAGGTTGCCTGTAAAAGATTGCTGTTAGCAATAAGGCCGCCCATTGTGCATATCCATCTGTAATATTTAACCAACTTACTGTAATTGGTGTACAAAAAAGCATATTCTATTCTATTTGCTAAATCATTAAAACCGGCAGTGCTCAAGTTCACAACTGAACTGCACTACTACGAAGTATTCGAAGAGGCGTGACGAAGTCAGAAATGACAATTTACTTGTGTACATGCACATTACATGTTCAATTTAAAAAGTTCCAAGTGTCTAAACAAACTTTTGAAACAATCAACTATTTCATTTCAGTATATCACATATACAAAGTTCTGAATGCCCACACAGACCGGCATGCTTAAAAAGATCCAGAAAGAAAAGCGATCCAATAATCCCCAGCAATACTGACTAGTGCCAAACTCCGGTTTGCAAATCATTTCAAAGGTTAATTCTGGTAAATTCTATTAGATTTTTTTATACTATAGGAAGTAAACTAGCGGTCGGGTTACGTTACCTCTTGTTTAGTCACCAACCAACCACCAACCACCAACAATGCGTTGTCACCCTCTGTAATAAAGAGGGTAAAAAGCAATGAAAAAAATTACTTAATGCCGCTTTTTAAAAGACTTCAAAAAGGAGGAGGTTGTCAATTCGGATGTTTATATATATTTTTTTATGTATGTTAGGGCAAAACTTTGCTATATATGGACGGATTTTCAAAATTGTTTTTTTGCTCGTAAATAGTTTCAGAGTTCAATTCCGAAAGAGACAGACAACGGAACTCTCCAAGAAATGACAGCAATTCAACCACGATTGCTGCTAGGTTTTTAGTGCTCTTTGTTAGTATTGCTAGAAGTGGGTTTTTTTTTTCAAAAAGATTTATTCTTGTCTATATACCGAACCATGGCTCTCCCGCAGTCAAAACGATACAGAAACAACGAACGAAAAGAACGAGCAACAGAAGTCCTTATTTACAACTAGCTGGTACCCGCGACTTCGATCGTGTGGAATTTGAAAAGCGCTACTTTAGCGATGCGATGGATGGGCAAATTTAATAGGGTTTTCTGAGAGGAAAAATAGCCTAAGTTACTCCTTATATACACAGCTACCTGGTAGTAAAATACTACCAAAATCGTTCCAACCTTTTTGAAGATTACCCGGAACGTACACACAGACAAAAATATTTAAAATGGTTTTTTGGCGTTGGTATCGTGCAAATAACCGTGTAAGCCTGGAAACAACCCTGTTATTTTGACATTACAAACAAACGCTTCAATTTTATTTATTTGTATAGATTACTACATGTGTACAGTACGTTGATAGCTACCAATTAAGACTATAGTTAATATATTCGACTTAGTCGTATCAATTAAATAATAAGGTATGAAACCACACCTAAATACTTTACCAAAAATGTCATATTATTAAAACCTACCTTTTTTTACGTGATCAATGTCTTTACGCCACTGATTACTTCATTAAGCTACATTTATGGGTATCAACGATATATTTCATAACTTCACTTCACACAATCTCTCAGTGAAAAATAATTATTATATAACTGTATTTTAACTATTCAAATGTTATACAATTATCCTCATTACTCACTTGATCTATAACATGTATAATCAAGATCATGATCAACGATTCATATGATTGTAATCAGTCAATAAATGATCAAACATTTGTTTGTTCGTTTGTTACGAAAAAATACTGAAAATGTGTTGTGAAAAATTTTACTTAAAATATGACAATGAAGGGCTTTTATAACTTGTTATTATAAACTGGAAGGGGACATAAAGAAATATCCGAGTCTCCAAACAAATAAATATGTAGTTTTATTCTAGGTAGACATTGGTAGAACTGTCACACACCAGTCAAAATGTTGTGCTGTTATCAGTGACATGTGAAAGCAAAGTCACGGGCAAAATATATATTTCATTAATTAACTATTTGAATATTTTAGTGTAAAAGTTATTCCAATTGTGATTTTGGTGGCGATGTATCAACTTTATAATTTCTTTAACGAAAATGATTCGAGAATTTGTGCTATTTTTCATCTTAGTGTCTTGTGTGTATGGTGAAGGTTGTGTGAGATACACATTCGAAGAAGGATTTTACGAATTATTTGATGATGATTCTGAACTATGTGAAAATAGCGTGCCTTGGCTTCTGGAACTTTACAAACATACACATCTCACCAGCCCACACGTGCTGAGTACTAAATACATAAACCCTCAAGAAGTAACCAGTTGTGTGTCATCTTTTACATTTCCCATGAACTTTGGGGGTATTATCGAAGTGAATGCTTTTGTTCAAATGACAGATAATGCAGACGCACTCTATGTAGCCGCTAGTAAAGTTGTAACAAATGACTCGGTTCAGAGTGCAGGTAGCATCGCGATTACACCACATCAGCCCGACTTCAAACCTGGATGGCATGCCTTGAGGTTCACATTATCAGGGATTGATGAGGAAACGTTTAATGGCTATGTAAGTGATTAAGTCATTAAAATTTAAGTAACCCAAATAATTTGAAAATTTTAAACTAAGATATTAGCTGAAAATGGGACGGTTCGTGCTTCGTGGACCATCTTAGTGGTAAAAGATAAAACAAGCGCATTCGATTATGTTTAATTTTTAAAATTATAAGTAGATGTAGTCGTTATTAAATTAGACTAATTTACTGATCAGATTCATCACTAAAGTAATTATTTTACATTGCCCGAGTCTTGTAAGCATGTTGCAACTTAACAAATGTAATAGATAGATTTAGAACAACAAAGAACCTTACAGACGAAAATGAAATTTTTTTTTACGAACTTTTACTTTAATGGTAGTACGATTTAAAACATGCATGACCGCTAAAATACCAGGGGTTTTCCAGCGTTAAATTACTTCAGCTATAAACCTTGAGGTTCCAATCCATACGTAAACTTTAATAGCAAAACTAACTTTATTTAACAAACAAGTTTTGAAAGCGAACAATGACATAAGCAAGTTTATAAGAAGTCAAGCAGATAGGTCTGTAATAGCTGCAACTAAAAATTTGAGTTGAACACTTCTAGAAATTGTGCACACGAAAATTTACATAATTAAATAAGGATTTTTTGGGTAATAATTGTACCTTGTTTACTTATGCAATTTATTCTCAGCGTTTTCTGTTAAGTATTTTTAAAGCTGGTTTATTTCAAGTTTTCCTTCTATTTGCAGTGCTGTTGTCCTGGGTAGTTTTCTTTTTTAGTCGGCTCTTACGACACTTATGGGATAAACAGTGGTAGTGAAACTCCGTATGCTTAATCCATATTAGGTCCTACTATAGAAAGTCTAAATACATGCTGACTCCTATTTCATTTTGTATTTGTTTGTACCATTTTTTTTACATTTTAACTGTTTAAAAATCAAATTTTCTGTACCTCTTTTACATATAAACATAAAGTATTTTACATTTGATACATTTTATTTGTCTCTATATTGTACGTCGATACAGTAATATTTGTACAGAAATAATATACATTTCGGTATGGCAACAGGCAGACTTACGGCGAACTCCTACAGACAACCTTTATACGAATCTTGTCAAATTTACGCCAGCGCTGTACGTTTATTCTTCTGTGTGTAATAAATATATAAAAAGTAAAAATATTTTTGAACGCATAACTATAAAAATGATTGACAACCTTATTACAGATATGATTAAATGTAATATCTTTAATATTACTGTTAATCTAATTACAAGAATTAACAATATCATCAAACCTGACTTAATCACTTAAAATCATAATCCTCTAGGTACTTAAAATTTTTACTTGCTTTTATTGCCTCGTATATTAATAAAAAAATTCAAGTATTTGATTATCATACAGTCATTAGTCAACATAATGTTTAACATGAGTAATTGATACTATATAAAATATTTAATAACATTTAAAACATTATGCACTTAAATATTACATTGTAATTGAACTGCAAGTGAAATACATATGTACATACATCATGTTTTCTTCTACCTTCGGGACAGGCACAGACAATATACCCTACCACGCATCCTCTACTGTTAAGTTAAACCTTTCATACAAGTTCATCGGTTTTTTTTTCACCCTTATCTGCCTTTTCTTCAAAAAATATGTAATTAATTTATTCAACGTTTGCCTTATATGCTTTATTTTTCATTGTTTCCCCACTCATGCATTTCAAGTGACGATCCCACCTTAGCATATTCTTTTCGATTTGTTTAGTGACGCACTGACCAATCTTAGAGAGTTTCCCGTAATGTCTTTCTCGAGTTACAGTATGCAATCTAGACCTGCTCAAACAATGGCTCACAATTAATCTATCTATTTAAGCAATATAATGCAACAGAAGTAGCCTTCCTTCTGTTGCATTATATTGCTTACCTTAGTATACCTTCTTTTTTGTTGACGGGTGGAAAATCCCTTCGAATTTCCTGGTCCTCGGGGACTCAGGAGCCAGGAATATGTGGTGATTCAACTAAAATCCACCCCTACGGCCGGCCTCAGGTTACTCTGGGAGGATTCGGACCATGTTATTTCGGGTCCTCCCCGAATTGACACCATGCTTCAATTTGTATTTTTAATTAGAATTGTACTTTTACTACAACTTTCTTAAGATTTATTTAAACGTCTTAATAATGTTAAAACAATATTTTGCTTTAAGAAATCTGTTAAATGAGAAAGGTTTTAAACTATACAACACTGTTCTCGAACCTATAGAAGAGGAGCATTGAACATAAATGATAATACGTACATACATGATAAACTTAATTTTTATTATGTACGGAATACGAGTAGTATTTCCATATATAATAAAATTTAGTTGCTCAGATAAAATAGTCCAAAAATAGACAAATTTGGGAAAAGCTCGGCAAAAAGATACTCAATTCTTGAACTATTTATGATACGTATCTGCAAATACCCCTATATAGGCGAGTTCGACTCGCACTTGTCCGGGTTTTTCTATTTTATATATGTATATTTTATATATTAAAAAAAAATACCAAAAAGGCCATGCGAAAAAACTGAGACATAAATTTACATGACAATTCTGTCTCACCTTAATAACTCTTACATTACACACAGAATCATTGAGTTGCATAAATTAATTCAACGAACATAGAAGGTGCAAAATACACTGAAATTAATTGAAGTTTACCGAGTTAGTCATGAGCGAGTAAAGACATGGATTGTGTGCAAACCGTTCATGCGCTCATGGTTATAATTTGCAAAGGCGTTCAACAGGATACATGTTCGTAGGATTGGCTTTTAATTAATTCACACCTGCAATATATAATGAACAAGATTTAAATTCAAGGCTTAGTCTGCATTAGTAACCAAAGTTATATTTTTCAATTTAATCGACTCAATATTCAATCTCATCAATACAATCAATCAATACTCGACTATCAATTTTTTGTTATAGTTTTGTTAATCTTAACAGCAAATTGTAAAATTGTTGCAAATAAGTTGAAACAGAGCTTTCGGTTGTGTTTTCGAGAGACGTATCTTTAGTTTTTTTTGATGAGTTAAAAGGAATTTTGTGAAATAAATAGGTTTATTATCACAATCATAATGAATTGATTATACAAATTAATAGTATCGCTGATACAAAATATTCTTAATTTGGGGCAATGTCGTTACGTAATTAAATGTTACGTAATCTGTTTTTAGAGTAGTTGGAGGTTAGCTTATAATTAGTCCTATAACTTGTAACACTGCGTTTCCGAAGGACGAAGCAACGCTCATTTATAAACAAATACAACTTGCTAACCAAAAAGTATTTTATTTAAACAGTGTCATGTCACCCAATAGCATTAAAACAATAATCACAATATAAATAACAAAAAAGTTTTGTCACTGTCACTCTTCGTGCGCGCATTCCACTTTGGACGTGACGCGACAGTGACAAAACTTTTTTGTCACCGTGACAAAAGACACCCGTGCGCGCACTCACTTAGTCAGAGATATATAACATCGCCTTGTATTGCACGTACATACATATATTAAGATAAAACCTCCTTTCTGAGGAGAGACCTATGTCCAGCAGTGGACTATTAAAGGCTCTTGATGATAATAAGATCAATAGTTGTATCCCTAAAAACAAATGAAAATTTAATAACCACCTAATTACATTAATGTGTTCTTTGTTTTTTTTACAAACAACATACAGTTGTATGCTGTGTTTTTACAAAATGAGGTTTTATTTTATTTGAATAAACCTATTCCTTATAGCAGAGTACAATAGTAAAGTAAATCAAAACGTTGTTGCAAATGTTTTCCGGTCAAAAAGTTATTAAATGAAGCGGAGAAGGCATTTGAGTAGATAGGTCACCTGGTGATAAATACCTAGCGCCTCCCATATACCCATGTAACTTAAAAGATACAAGGGGGAGGCACACTTTGAGTACCTCCTCCCAGAATGGAGAGGGAGTTGGTCTCCGGTAACCTCAATTAACCACTCACTCAAAAAATGCTTAACACCGTTTTTCTGTGGGCCGTATATCACCTACCCCACTCACTTGTGGCAAAAAATGGCTATTATATAGCTCAGCATTTATACTAATATCTACTTAACAATTTTTTTCCCCCTTTTTTAATACCTTACATTTAATAAATAAGATTCAGGAACTAATAATTATTCTAATTGTTTAGTTGGAGGATACTTCTAAACTCAACTTAGAATACTCACTGTAAACTAATTGCTTCCATTAATAACGACAATTATAGTGTATGTATCCTTTATAAAAGTAACAAAAATAAAAGCATCTTTTTTTTTGTTTCAGATTTCTATTTTAGGAATGGCCTCACAAACATCAATTGTCTTAGTGGATTCATTTCGGTATATACCGCCCAACACTGACGAAAGCGATTGTGTGCTATATGAAATAGAAGATGATGTTACGACTGTTCCTACTACTGAATCTACTACTGATCCTACCACTGACCTAACCACTGGTCCCACCACTGATCCTACCACTGATCAAAGCACTGAACCCAGTACTGATCCCACTACTGATCCCACTACTGATCCTACCACTGACCCTACTACTGATCCCACCACTGATCCTACCACCGACCCTACCACTGATTTGACCACTGAACCGACCACTGATCCTACCACTGACCCCACCACCGATCCCACGATTGATCCTACCACCGACCCTACAACTGATTTGACCACTGAACCGACCACTGATCCCACCACTGATCCTACCACTGACCCCACCACCGATCCCACGACTGATCCTACCACCGACCCTACCACCGACCCTACCACCGATCCCACCACTGATCCTACGACCGACCCTACCACTGATTTGACCACTGAATCGACCACTGATCCCACCACTGATCCTACCACTGACCCTACCACCGATCCCCCGACTGATCCTACTACCGATTTGACCACTGTACCGACCACTGATCCCACCACTGATCCTACCACTGACCCCACCACCGATCCCACCATTGCTCCTACCATCGACCCCACCACTGACCCCACTACCGACCCTACCACTGATCCAACCACTGATCCCACTACTGATCCTATCACCGATCCCACTACTGATTCTACCACCGAACCGACCACTGATCCTATTACTACTGATCCTACTACTGATTCCACCACTGATCCTACTACTGATACCACCCCTGATCCCACTACTGATCCTATCACTGAACCGAGTACTGATCCCACCACTGATCCCACCACTGATCCTACCACCGACCCCACCACCGACGCCACCACTGATCCTACCACCGATCCGACCACCGACCCCACCACCGATCCTACCACCGACCCCACCACCATTTCCACCACTGATGCGACTACCGACCCCACCACTGATCCCAATACTGATCCTACCACTGGTCCCACAACCGATCCTTCCACTTATCCTACTACTGAGTTCACCACTGATCCTACAACCGACACCATAACCGATCCTACCACGGAACCCACCACTGATCCTACCACTGATCCCACCACTGATCCCACCACTGATCCTACCACTGATCCCACCACTGATCCCACCAGTGATTCCACCACTGATTCCACCACTGATCCCACCACTGATCCCACCACTGCTCCTACCACTGATCCCACCACTGATCCCACCACTGATTCCACCACCGATCCCACTACTGATCCTACCACTGATCCTACAACCGATCCTTCCACTGATTTCACCACTGATCCTACCACCGACACCATAACCGATCCTACCACTGACTCTACCACTGAATCTATCACTGATCCCACCACTGATCCCACCACTGATCCCACCACTGATCCCACCACTTATTCCACCACTTATCCCACCACTGATCCTACCACTGATCCTACCACTGACCCCACTAGTGATCCTACAACTGACCCCACCACTCAACCTACTACTGATCCTACCACTGACTCTACCACTGAACCTACCACTAAACCTACCACTGACCCCACCACTGATCCTATCCCTGATCCTATCACTGAGTCCACCAGTTATCCTACCACTGATCCTACTAGTGATTATGCAACCTACGAGAGTACGGACGATATCGGTTCTACATCTACAGGATACGAAACAACAGAAGCTATACCGACAACCATAACACCAATTGTTGAAGACTGTACAGGCGGTTTAATGACCCCTCTAGCCGTAACTCTATTAGTTTTGGCATCATTATTAATCATAATTTTTGTGGCCATATTCTGTTACTGGCTCGGACGAAGAAGAGGCAGGGCCGAAGCGGACGCCCTTTTGAACATAGAAGAATTTTCTAGCACTTTTAAAATGCCTAGAGTAAAAAAAGTTTTCCCTAACATTAAACGTAATCCTTATGCCAAAGCAATGGATTACTTACCTTAAAATTTTATATAACTTATTAATTTATTGTATATATTGTTTGAGTTGTAAAAATAATATCATCCTAATTTATGCTCATGCGCATCATCATCAATTTCTGAGCTGTATAGGAAGTTCATAGTAGTATATAAGAGTATTTAATTTTTAATTGTAATAGAATATTTATAAGTTGTCTTTATTTGATATAAATTAGCTTTATTTAATGACCTAAAGTGATAATAATAATAATGAAAAATAAAAAGATCGAACTGACAAATTTTGAACTCGATCCAAATCCGAGTATTAGGTCCTACCTCATCTCTTAAAGTTATTTTCCACGATGAGTGTACATCGTGGAAAATTATTTTATTTTATATAGTTAAATATTATTTTACGACTTAAGTTTACTCGTAGAGTATTCATATTCAGTATTGTCATTAAAAATCATTTCTATCCACTAAAAGCCTAGATGTACATATGTAGAAAATATTTTACTGAAGCTGTAAAATGCTTCGAGACTTTGTTAAAATTAATTATAGGAAAACATGTATTTTGTTATAACCTATGCCTCTTTCGATTACATTGTACAAAATTAATTAAATTTAGTTAACTTAATAATGATTCTCGAATATACTTTTGTAAAAATATGTCAATAAATGTTAATATACTTTTGTTTACGATAATTATATTTATCTGAAATACCTAATTTGAGGATTTAAATCACGTCCCAATATAACAACAAAAACTGCATTTTGATAACGACAATTTGCTAGACTTAAAACCACGTTGCTCAAAACAAATAAGTAGGAATTGAAATTATCAGTTTGTTTGTCGGTAAAATAAATTTAGCAAAACGACATCTAGTGACAACGTGGGAAACTTTGACAAACAGTTTTTAAGTCAATGGCAGCAAAAGAAAGAACACAGAATAAACCTTAACTGATATCGTAATAGTGTTAAGTATGCATTCATTTCTTTTAAAATTACATTAAATTGGCACTTTACATGTATGTAGAGTTTAATTTCAGTACATTTTATTTTGTCAAAGACAAAATACAGACACATATAGCTGTATCATTAACTGTGTATCGTTTACCTTATCAATTATTGAAGTGTAACCCAACGAAGGCGATTTGATAAAACCATATTATTTCCTTCTTCGAATAGATAAGTACAACATTTAAATTACTGGGATTATTAACAGATTATTTTATGAATATAAAAAGTACGTGTTGGTCTGTCGAAACGTTTGTAATTCAAAATATTTTCCATTATATTGTATCTCTCAAGAATTTAAAAATATCTTAGTGACGCAGTGGTAGTCTGTAATCTGCATTGTCTACGTAGCAGGTTTGATTTGCACTCAGACAAATATTTACAAATAAGTTTTTGCATTAGTTTTTATTATTTCTAAGTATTATATGTATATATGTACTTACGCATTACATATAACATGTATACAAAAATAGTGAAATGTATATTAAAAGCCATGCTTAGTTTGGTTAGGCTTAGGTTTAATTTTTATCTTATAATCTGTTATTTTACACACATAACGCCTCGTTAAACCGCAAGATTCAGCATAAACATATTAAAAACCATAATTTTACTAACAATAGTTCGATCCCCAGTCATAATAGGGGTGAATCCAATGCCGTCAACACATTACTTTAGGTATCAAATAGGAGATTTGAGTTAAGAAGGAAAAAGGTCTGTAAGAGTATAACTAAGTTGATCAGTAAAGCAGATTTGTTAGCCAAAATGGCTGATACCAGGAAGGTATTTGAAAAATTTCGTGTGCCACTATGAATTCATATAATATATAATTTTAAAATTCAGAGTTCATTCACTAAGATTCATAATAGAAAAAATATATTCAAGGATTTACAAAGGATTTTTTGAAACGAGCAAACGGGTCACCTGAAGGCAAGCGCCTACTATCGCCCATGTAAACTTCCAACTCAAAAGACACAAGTGCCGTGCCGTCTTTAAGATACCCTCTTCCCATGATTAGAAAGTAGTTGATGTTTATGTTTCTTGTGTAGCAAAAATAAATGGTTTAAATGGTTAATGGTTTGATCCTCCATCAACCTCACTCACTCAATGAAAAGCTACAAAAGAAATAATTAGAATAATCTCCAAATGATATTCATATGCAATTGCCTTATCGGTGACTGTCTTTAGAACGATTAAGTGAACCCAATACGGTTTCAATACAGTCATTTTGGAAAGTACGTTATCTGTGTATACATTATTTCTATAATAACAATTTCATTTGCTTCTGGAATTCAACATAATGAAATGTTCTTTTAGTGATTCTTGCTTTCCTGCACCTTTAGTGCTTCTGTTACTATCAGTGCCTGTGTTCTCACAAAATGAACTATTCCACATGTTAAAGGAAGATGAATCTGTGAGTACTAAACCTTAGTTAACTTTAGTTGTGAAAGCGCCATACTTCGGCACAAATGGGTTGGCTCCCCGAATGATACCACGGCATCAGAAAAAGCCTCTTGTTTCATTGCTTTTGACCGAGTAAGAGAGGTTACTATGGTAGGTAAGGTATACCAGGTACTATACAGGTGTCCATGGGTGACGGAAATGGTGACCTGTCTGCTCGTTTGCCCCATATATCTAAACCATTAAAAAAGTACTACGGCCACAAAAGCAATCCTCTATCAAAATTGATTAATACGATATTAGTTACTGATAATAAATCTACTGTCTTCGTATGAAATGGTAGTTTTCTTTGTCTGATAAATAAATGTTCGCCAATTGGTCTCTTTTAAGTCTGTTATAGACATTGCAATAAGTGTCTTTATAGATTGTTTGTCCATGGGGCTCTTGACTAAATGGTAACCGAATACGTAACATTGCAAAGTTAAGCCATCCTAGCCAGGTTGGTTTATGGATGGGTGAGCATTCTTAACACATTGAGACCCCTCCGTGCGTCGAAGCCATCGGTCCCAGTTGCCATACGAACATCTGTGGCAATCGTTACGGGTCGTTGAAGCCCTAAAAAGTCCGACAACAGTCTTTCTACATAACTTTGTGATCGCCCAGTACATGGGTTGTGGTCTGATGGCAGTCACGCCATCAGACGTCCACAACCCAAGAAAATTGAAATTCAGCCGTATCATAGTAAGTCCGTACATCAGAATTTTTGAAAAAGTCGGCTATAAATCTATAGCCGACTGTTTGTCCACAGTGTAAGTAACTCCGTATGACAAATAAAACGTCATAGATATCTAAACATAAACTCTTGTTTTGTGTACAATAATAAACTGACTTGTTGGTCTAGTGGTTTGTGACCCTGACAAAGTCAGAAGGGTTCGATTCCCAGCAAGGACAAATGATTGTATAATCAGCACGATAACTTTTTCAAATGAGCTGAAAGGTCACCATCATCACCCGTGATCATCACCAACATCATGTTGGTTAGTGACCACCGCCAACACAAGTGTATTGCCGCCTTGATTACCCGCCGCCCTTCCCCGTAGTTAGGAAGAGTGGGGTTTGGTTCTTATAAATAGCTCTACTCAAAAGACTTCCAGAGTTGTATTTGAACGTACGCAGACGTATGACTGTGGTTTTGCTAACGAAATCGCAAGAATGCCAATTCGAATTCCAATAAGATGTATGCATCAAAAATTTGCATACATCTTTGGAATTCGCTTTAATCGGTAAATAAAGTATAATGTCTCTATACTTATGAATATATTCTTCCATCAGCAGCAGAGGTTAAAGCAGAAACAGCAGATTTATAAAGGATACTTTAAACTTTCAGACAAAGCCATCAGGGAGCAATATAAAGGAATCAATTGAGGCTTACTTTAATCCACTCTCACCCACAAACGCAGAAAACTATTTTACAAATGAAGTAGCCTCTCCGAATTTGACTGTAAATGAAGAAGTATTAGAACCCGATGATGACGATGATGGAGACGATAATGAAGATCCTGTCGAAGACCCCAGCGATAACGACCAAACAGACTGTATAAGACCGAACAGCATTACACTACGACCAGGAATAATAACGTTGATAGTATTTGGTTTTGTATTTGTATTAGTCCTAGTAGGTGTAGGAGCCTACCGACTTGGAAAATACAGGGGTTTTATGGGTACCAATGATAAGATTAGCATGGATGATACTCCTTCACCAGAGTATATTATACCTCGCATTAAATCAGTCAACAATTTTAACAATAGAGTGTTTGCGGAGCAATAGATAAAACAAGTCGTCCAGAGGTTGATATTTAAGTATAATATTAAAAAAAATTGATAACAATAAAGATTCTTAAAAAAAACAGGTTGTTTTTATTTATTTTATCTTTTGCCACTTAAATCTAGTGCATCTCTCATGTTTGCACCATCCTGTAGACTTGAAGGTAATGACTGTTGCATTAAGTCTACCATTATGCTTGATTTGTGCATAAATCATCAGCCTATTGCCACCCATTGCTGAACCAGACCCGAGAATGCTCCTCAAATCATGTCGGTCCATCTTGCCGCAGGGCAGTGTAGGGTACAATACGTTTGCCTAATCGCGGTGTTCGCTCTGGCACATGTCGGCTCACTTTTACTTCAGCGTACTGATTCTCCGTGCGATATCGGTTACTCTGACTCTCTGTCAAACTCAAGTTTATAAATAAATTACTCACAAACGACTGAATCGATTCAGATAATGTTCATTTGTTCGAAAGGAAATATTTTCTATATATATAGTATAGAATACATCACACGAAAGGTCGTGAGTAGTATTCTATACTATTTCTTCAAGTTCTTCAAGATCCCGTAATGATTACGGGATCTTGAAGTGCTTGAGGAATCGGGAGAATTCTTAAAATTTTACATGCGGTGAAGTCAAACTGATATAGAAACCACAAATATTCACTGGAACCAATTAGTAGTATATAGAGAGTAAGTAGAAAAGTAGAGCAATTTATGCTACTTGCAATGTAATAAAAATATAATTATAATAATATTATAACCACATTCACACAACGCAATCTAGTCAACACTAGTCTAGACAACTGATATAAATACAAATATACTTTTTTTGTAAATACATACGTATTATACATAGAAACACCCAGACCAAATCAAACATTAAATGTTCTTGCACACAAATGTTTGACTTGAGCGGGAATCGAACGTAACGGACTGCTATTTAAAAGGTCTCGGCCTTTGGAATAGCAGTCCGTTACACAAACCCCTACGCTATTCGATCGTCATGTAAAAAATAAAAATAAAATGTAAACAGGATACCTTCCACTGTCCAGGTACTTCTGGTGAGTTCCTCAGTAGTAAACATTCCTGCATTGCTAAAACTTATGTCTTGTAAGGTGTTGAACAGTTGATAGTAATAGTAAAGGTTACAGGAAATTTACAGTTTATTTTTATTCATCTCGATTTAAATAAAGTATTTTTATATATTTCACAAGCTGTTTTCTACGTTTGCACCTCATTCCATATTCAATATTCTATTTCCAAACGTCCTTAGTTGTTAAACTATCATAATCATGAAGAATTTTAAGAAGCCGAACTGTTTTTCTTAAGATTAGTATTATGTAAGTTTATGTCAGTTTTGTAAAAAAACTCGACTGCAACTGTAACCTCGTTGCACCTACCTTACAAGTTTTCTACACCACTAAAAGGTTTGCTGGTGGAGAATATCCAAGGCATTAAGTCCGCCGATGTGCATAAGTGCGTAAAGTGGCTTAAATAAATAAATAAAGGTTATGATGTTGATGAGTGTTAGCAAAAGAGGAAATTGAATTGACTCTTGCCGGAAGTCCGAGCCCACTAACCATCGTGTTAGTACTCTATACGTCGGTTAGATATATCTTCTTTGTATCTCTAATAAATATAATATAATATGGGGTACATGGTGATGTCAAATGACATCACCACATCACCAAATACAAAATAAAGAGTACTAACATAAATACTAAAAGAAAACAATAAAATGATTTGTAATATGGTTCCCATTATAAGCTTTATTACAGTTACGACAATAACATACTCGTAAAAAACAGTAATGATAATCAAACAAAACAAATCTAATAAACAAATTTTAATGTATGAACGCGTATAGCCGTTATAACTTTTTTTGGATCCTGATAAATGTCCTCACGATTTATATATTTTTGCTGACACTATTTTAAAAATAAATTAGGCCTTTCCATTTTAGGAACCTAGAATGGCTTAGTAGAACGTAACATACGTATAGCCTTCTAGGTTTATCTTTAATTTTAGGAAACAAAAAGAAAGAAATAGACGAAAGATAAAAGAATTAGGCTATATAGTGGATACATTTGAAGCCTTCAGATAATTCAATTCAATTCTTTATTAATAAAATATAAGCATCACAGTGTATACCAAATCGCTTATATCTATGCTAATTTTAACAAAAATAAACTACATACTATTAAAATTGTAAAACTCAGACCATCAAAAAGAAACAACATAAAATTTGTAAACAAAAACAACCTTACATCAACTTAGGAACTATAACATTACTCCTTAAAATTTAGATAAGTATAAATATGTTTTAAGATTATACTTTGGGAGTCAAAAAATATATCTGCATCTGGACTATACTGAAGAAACTCATTGATAAGCCTAATTGCTATAGCAGTGGGGCTATTGTCAGCCTGGGGAGAGCGCCACGTAGGCGGACAGCACAGGAGTCTATATTGTCGTCTTCCAATGGCACGCATATGTTGGTCGGGAACATAAAAATGTATTGATTCCCGTACAACAGGGCTATCTACCATATTCGCCAGTATCAAACAATATTGCATTATACGAGTATGTGTATCCCGTATCCCGCCTGAGTTGAAGTCTAAACCCACCATTCCTGACACAAACATTGAAGGATAGAGAAAGGGGTAGTATCCATACTGAGGCTTATATAGGTATCTACAGAATTTACGTTGAATTTTTTCTATCATAATATTTTACAACGACTCCCGTGGACCCCAGACTATTGCATTATATTCTAATTTACTACGCACATAAGTATTGTATATTTGTATTATAACTTGAGTGTTCTTAAATTGTGAAGATATTCTGATGATGAAACCAATGCATTTATTAGCGTCTTTGCATATTAGAGGATTCTGGTCATGAAAATTTAATTTGTTATCCATTGTTACTCCCAAATCCTTGATTGAAGGAACACGTTCCATTGGTGCGCCTGCAAGGTGATATGTATTTGTAATCGGAAAAAGCCCAATAAAAATAATTGTCGTAGTGAAGGATGACATTGCATTCTGGACAAGCAAAGGCTTTTCTCTCCGGTCCAAAACAGTACACTTAGGTTTCTTTATCTATTACGATATTATAGAGAGCAATGACGGTCATGCGTTGTCCGCAGAGTGCAAAGTTGACGAAACTTCAGATGCATATGTAAAATGTTTTGCAATTAGGACGTTCCAATGCCTAGAACAGTACAAATTTTCGAACAAGTAATTTATGTCACTTTAATCAGTGGTCGTGTGGTATCCATTTGTATTGTGTAACCGCGGCCATTGACCTTGATGTACATCGTCATAAAAAAGTATCACGTTATAATCTTAATATTCCGGAACACGAATACAGAGACCTGCGATATGGGTCTTTATCATCAAATCTTGTTAATTTTGAACAACCAGAAGACCAATCATGCTAAGTTTACTTAAATATTTTTTTGAAAAGAAAGTTTGGCAAATGACATATAGTACTTTTTGTCACAAAAATAAACATTATCAAAATATGTTTTAACTAATGATTTCTCAAGTTCATTTTAAAATAGATTGAACAAGACATTGGAAAAGGAAATACTCTAGTTTTGGGTGCAAAAAAAGCCTTTAAGGTGACGAAGTACTAAATTTAAATTAGTATCCCCCATACTAATCGATCAATCATTAGTCGAGTTTATTTGAATTAATTTTGATATTTAGATAAATAAGGCATTGGAGAAGGACATAGGCTATTTTTTGTTATGAAAATAAACTATAAGATAATGAAAAAGTAAGGGGTCCAACATTGTATGGGAGACCCATAATTTATATAAAAATATCGTATGTTTAGTTTTTGGTTCTGAAATGCAGGTATACCTTATACAAAGTGCTCATCAACAGCTTTTAGTGATCCAATGCTGGACATATACCTCTTCTTAGGAATAATACCAAACTGGCCAGACGGGTTGGTATAGGATTTCGGTGAGGAGGACCGGCTTCATGAGGAGTACCGACGGGCGCGGAAAACTCTGAAGCTGGCCATTAGCCGCGCCAAAGAAGAAAAGAGACAGGAGATGCTGGAGGGTCTTAATCGTGACCCCTGGGGTCGCCCTTACCGCGCGGTGCGACAAAAGCTCCGCGCGTCGGGCCCCCCCCTTACGGAGACTCTCCAGCCCAGCTTCCTGCGAGAAGTGGTTGAGGGCCTTTTCCCACAACGGGCGGAACACACTCCCCCGTCGATGGCCTCCCTGGCCGGAGACGACAGGGAGCACGGGGAGGATAATGTTCCGCCCGTCCGGGATTCGGAGGTAGGGGCGGCTGTTCTACGGATCCGTTCCAAGAACACCGCCCCTGGGCCAGACGGGGTACCGGCCCCAGTGCTGGCCCTGGCCCTCAACCACATGGCAGACCGCCTCGGGGAGGTGTTCGACGCTAGCTTGGCGTCGGGACGCTTCCCTGAGTGCTGGAAAAGCGGGAAGCTGGTCCTATTGAGGAAGTCGGGACGGCCTGCCGATTCGGTCGCGGCCTATAGGCCCATCGTGCTGCTGGACGAGGCGGGCAAATTGTTTGAGAGGGTTCTTTCTGCCCGCATCGTCCGGCACCTCTGCGAGGTGGGCCCCGATCTGTCGGACGCCCAATTTGGTTTTCGGGCGGGGCGTTCGACAGTCGACGCCGTGTTGCGCCTGAAGGCCGTGACCGAAGAGGCCGTGAGCTGTGGCGGCGTGCTGTTGGCGGTGTCATTGGACATCGCCAACGCATTCAATAGTCTGCCATTCAGCTGCATCAGGGAAGCACTCCACTATCATGGGGTGCCAAAGTACCTGAGGCGGCTAGTGGCAGACTATTTAGAGGAGCGTACCGTCGTGTACGAGGACCGAGAAGGTAATTTGAGGTGTCGGCCCATGTCGTGCGGTGTTCCACAGGGGTCTGTTCTTGGACCCCTCTTGTGGAACATAGGGTACGACTGGGCCCTTCGCGCCGATTTCCCCCCCGGGCTGGGTGT